CACCGACGACGTTCAGAATTATATACGAGCACTTGCTGATTTATCGTCGGGCAACGCCGGTCGCGAATATATTTATATCCGTAATGCACAGACACCGCGCGTCCGGCTTATTTATCGGGCGTTCGTTTACACCGCCGTGAAATAATTCACACTTCGGCGGCGCGTAATGCGCCCGGTGTGCACCTTCGACAGGAAAATTGGATTTTCGAGGGAGCTTGTTAACTCTTGGTTGCGCGCGTCTTACCTTCGCGTTGGCGCGCCGCGCCGCGCCCTCCGCTAAATCATAACGCGTAAAACTTCTCTGAAACTTCGCGGCTAATTGAAACACGAAAGAACTTTTGTGCGTCCCTCTTGCGAAACGTTTAAGAGTTGTCGCATGCACGACAACGTATGAGAATCATTTTCCTTTAAATATCGAGTCGAAAGGAGGAGGTCTAGTTTGCAGTTAGATTGCACATTTTTCTACCAGTTTGTTGATCCCCGTTCCTAAGTAACGAGAGAATCCTAAATTCATCCTACCGATCGATCGACACGCGAGCTTCGAGCTTACGTAATTCTCAGTTAATTTCAACCACAGTGGTTCTTTCGCCTTACGAACCTGTCTGACGATAAGAGGTTCGTCGATTCATTGAAACTGACGGTAAGTCTAAAACTGTTTTTCACATACGTTATTGTCCGACAATCGTAGAATTCAAGTGTGAACGCGAAAGAATAAATCCAAATAATAGATCAAAGAATAGAATTAGTACTTAGATTATTACGACTTTATCAACCAAGACTTTGCGCAAGGGCAGTAATCTGTAATCCATCACTTCAGTCTACGATTCTTTTCTTTCAGATAACAAAGGCTCGCGTTCGAGTAAGTAGATTCGGTATTTAATCGGACAAAATCTCTGCCCGACTATTTGCTACAATATCGTCCGATAATATCGTCAAAGGGTCAATGACTCTTCGGGGGGTCAGGAATCGAAGTTTATCGGTGTCCCACGTTCGAACGCGCCGGCCGACGGATAATTCGTTGCATAATGACGGTAAATCAATGGCAGAAGAATACGCGGACAACCGTGTCCCCGTGAATTCCGCCTACTTTCGCGCGACACGCTGCTCAATCACGGAGGTTATTAGTCATTAGCCGACGTTCGCTGACCGCTGGAGCCAATGTCACGACACCGCGACGACGTTCCTCTCGTTCTTTTCGCGTTTTATCCAGCGTCTCCGAGCCACGTCTTCGATCCTCGTCCCCTCTGCGTTCGATCGACAGCTCCGAGACCCCGCTCCGAATCCCGTTACTACACAGCCCTCGCACGCGATCGCATCGATTTCCCTTCCGCGATTCCGAAACGTACGATGCGACCAATCTCGGCGCGATCACTCTTGAAAATCTGCGTGGAAGAACCCCGCGTCGAGATGCTATAGCCGCGGATTTTCGATTAATTCCTCGTGTTCTTATTAAGAATTATTCACCATGATTTCGACGGAATCTGAATCTTCGGTTCGAAATCATAATAGTATCGATCGACGGAGGGCAGAAATTCTGGGCAGTGGAACGGAACCGTGCCACGTCAGACTTCTTCTCTTCAAAAAAAAATTGCCTTGTGTGCACTGGATATTGCAAACACTGATATTTTGTTCTTGAGCCGAGCTTTCTTCGCAAGTCGAACACTTGCAGTCCAAGTAACGTGAGAACGTGAACGGTCTTCTTTTTGAAAAAAATGTTTCCTATACGTTTCTTGACATTGCAAATAATTGTATTCTTCTTCTAACACACTTTTCTTCCAAGACTCCAAGACTGTAACTTTCGCGAGCAATTTGAAAATTGTTTCAACATTCAACGTGCGAGCGTGAACGAACGAAGCGAGAAAAAAAATAAAACGAAGGACGGGCGACGCGTTGTCTCGGGACGTTTCAAGTTCCGCGGGGCGGAATTTTCTACGGGTTAATTTAACGCGATTCGACTGTGATTTAAGTTAAGACGCGGCCGGGACGCAGGGAATAATCTCGTACGGAGATTCCAATTTTCCTCAACACTTATCTCGACGCGTTCTCCTTAATCAAGCATCGTCTTGCCTGCCGCGTTTCACCTGGCTCTTCTGCTATTCATCTCAACGTTTCTTAAGCCAACACCGGCAACAATTCTGCATTCACCGCGAACAAGAGCTACCAAGCTGGATCATATCCGAGCCGCTGATGACGCATCAGCTCTTGGCGGTGTGCGACGTCGCCAACGAAAATAGAAAGAGAAAGGAAAGGAGATAAAGAGACGATGTATCAGAGGAGCGCGGAGCCCCGACCTTCGCTAGCCCTGTCCGCGGAAACAATGGCGTGCCGCTAATCCTCCGCTCTGCCTCCTTTCACATCCCATTCTTCACTTTGAAAATTCCTTCTGGCTTCCCTCTGTCTGCCACCGCCCTCTCCCTCAATTTCCATACTACTTGCTCCCGTTACGAAACGAAAGCTCTGTTCTGCTCCGTTCTCCGTGTTGCACAACTTCGCTTCGCGTTGCAAAGGGACGTCGAGCGGTTTCGTACATCGACGTTGCACCTGGACTACCGAACCTCGGGAGGAAGGAAAACGAGAAAACAACGACGACGAAAGAAGAAGAAAAAGAAGAAGAAGAAGAAGAAGGAAGAGAGTACAGAGAGAGAAGCGGGACCAAACGTTAGTGCCATCGGCTGGTTTCCCCGGTTCTTGCCGGCAATCTTGGAAGCCCGAGGAGGTGGTACACACCGTGCCAACACCGCGTATGGTAGCCACGGGTTTCGTACTTGGCGAGGACGAGATGCGAGCAGGGTTCGCAACGGCGGACGGTCGATGCACCTCGCGCGACATCCACAGCCTCCGCCGCGCCAGAACCGTGTATCCCGGTTCAGGAGAGGAGCCACCGACCGACTAAAAGGGCTTGGCTTGCTCGTTCAGCTTGCAACCCCTCCCCCTTTCGCTGCTACCGGTTCGCCGCGAAGATGATGACCAAGCTACCGGCAGGACAAGGACGTTCTCAAGACTGTGGCAATTGTCTAATCCTTACCAAATGCACATTTACCGAATATCCTTTTAAATAATAAACTGACAATACAGAAGACGTTTGACAATGTTTGACAACGTCGAGTGTTATTTCAGTCAGCGAACGGCTCCGTTTAGTTTCGGAAGCTGAGGATGTGCTAGCCAGAGTTTCGGCGGACTTAACGAAGAACGACGCGAAGAGGAAGGAGAAGAGTCGTGGCGACCTTCGATGTCAAGGAGACATCTGGCCTTTCCATATTCGACACGAACGATGTCGTTCGTTAGCTGGTTCCAGTGGTTCTCAGCCACCGCTGCCACGGGAATTCCAGGAGGAAAGACTAAGTTACGGCTAAACGATGATATCGATAGCCTGGTGGCGCATACCGCGGTGTATCTTGCCATGACGTACGACTCGTTCGAGTGGCTGTAATGTTACACGGTACCCGGGACCGGTCAACGACGCTGACTCTCCAGCCAGCGATATTTTGCAAAAATTTGTATCTGCGGCTGAATCGAAGACAAAGGGCGCAGTCCTCGCTTCTGAAAAGAAAAATTGCCGAAGAAAATTATTATTCGTATTTCCAAAGAACAGAATCTGCTACCAGAGACTGAAATGTAGCGACTGTTTCTCGGTAACAAGCGCGAGCCTCGCAAGTTACATCACACGGTTTCGTTCGAAGGGTGATGGTCCACGATACCGCGAATAGATGCTTCTTGATGACACGACCACGTGACGACTCTCGGAAGAACGAGCGCGCGCAGCCTCGAATTTCAAAACGTCCGCTGGGAAGAAACGTGACCAGCGCGGGATTCTTCGCAAGGAAGAAACTTAGCCGGCTAGCTTCTCTTCTGTGCCTCCTCGAAAGGACAACAACAACGATCTCTGTTTCGTGGGCCGACGCTGTAAACTTAATAAGCTGAAAACTGCGGAGCGATCCACGCGATCGTGAAACACAGGAAGAAGATCGATGATTCGATAAACCGTGTTGGTAGGTTTAGGTTAGGTTAGTGTATATCCGATCGTGGATCACCCATTAACCTGAACGCTTCCACTCTCGTTAATATCGAGAAAACGCCGAGTCGAATCGCCAATTAGACTAGAATTGTGATCTTTTTTACCGTTGGTTCGATCCAACTGGATATTCGAGCATACCGAACGGTTTTCCACTGCCGGCCGGCCGATCGTGCCCAAATAATCCACTCAAACGATTCCGCTAATTAAACTCAATACCTTTGCCTTTGTTCTCTGTCTCTCTGTCTCTCTGTCTCAACGATCGAAATGTCATACCGGTCTCGAGACCGCTAATTGCTCGGTAACGGTGACAAGCTTTCGGCGAAAGTCACGCGCGCGCAACACTATCGAACGATGTAACGCCGACTTGTTAAATGTTAATCGTACGAAGACGTATAACGATTGCCCCTGTCGACTTTCACCGGTTGGCCGGCCCTGCCGAGTCCGATTCGAACGGAACGGATTCCTCCGGCCGGTAATGGAAGAGAGGCTCTCGTCGAAATAGACGTATCAAAGGGATCGGAGCCGACCGTTTTGTTCGCCGGTGCGCCACAAAACCTTCGTAACAAACGACATCTGGCCACTTACAGAGGGAAGTCGTGCTCTCCTACTGTCTCGGGCACGTTCTCCTTCACGTTCAACGTTCATCCTTCCGTTTCTCTTCGTGTCCACGCGTATAACCTACGTCCTCTCTCTCTCTTTCTCTCTCTCTCTCTCTCTCTCTCTCTCTGCACGTACACCTACGTTTACTTCTACGTGTACGTGTAGATACGAACGAGACAGTGTAAGTACCAGGTATGACCAAGCTACGGTTCCGTCCGCCGCGTGTACGTGTGTTGGAGCGAGTGTGAAGCACAGGAGCACTTCAAGATACGAAGAAGGCAAGGCAAGGCAAGGTAAGGCAAGTAAGGCTCGTGCCCTGCTCGGTGACTGAACCCACACCGTGTGTTTCACACAGAGAGAGAAAGAGAGAGAATCGACTCTGTCTCTGTCTATTCTCTTGCAGGAACGCGCACACAGATTCGTCGCGGAGTCTTCCGTGTGCTCGTAGCATCGACAGAGGCTTCGGGGAACTGAGAATCTCATCGGCCGGGCTCCATCGGTGGCGTGCTCGAATTAAGATGCATCTACCAAGTAGGATCTCCTCCACGGCGTGGCTCCTTCTCGTTTCGCGTTCGTTCCAGCCGGATCAGACACGCGTGCACGTGGATGGAAAAATTCCACCGATGGATCGCCCCGAGTTCGAGGACGTTTCGTTGGACGTGCTCGCGGCGCACGGCAGATTCGTTTGAGTACCAGGAAGTACGAACCGGAACCCGTGCACGGGTCCGGAGAGGCTCTTCGTGTACGGGCAAGGGCTCTCTAGGTATCCACTCTGTCACAAAGATTCCGAGAAGACGCCGCTTGATCGTGTACGCTAATTCGTGAGAGAAACGATGGACGACGGACGATCTAATTGCCCCTCACGTTCGGCTGAAATATTAAGGGAAGGTGTCTGTTTGAAGAGAGTCTGTTTACTCACCTTGTCCTCGCAGCTCTTGTGGCAGATGTACTTGCAAACTGCAAAAACGGAGAAGAAGTATTTCAACAACATTGTTCGTGATCTCGTTCGTGAGAATTTCGAACGAGATTTCAAAAGGTAAAGGTAGTCAAGTACGTTTCGCGAAGTGTGAATGTTAATAGAAAGAACAAATTATATGAGATACTGAGGAAAGTTTCTGTTCTGAAGACTAGACTCGAATCGATCCGAATTTGAATTTCCCTCCTTTTCCAGAGCGCCACGCGTGATCTACCGCGCTTTTTTACCGTGCACAGCACCGACAGAACTACCGACCGAACCCTTTCGAAGCGGTGGCTCGGAGAAACCGTAGGGAATGAACTTATCGACTCACCTCTGCAGCACGACGCCTGTTTGATCACCGCCTGATGGCACAAATGGCACGGACGCGGCTTGCGCAACTGCTTCGTTCGGAACACGTGACATTGCGGCTCGAACTCGCTCTGAAATCAACGAAAAGCAAGGAACACGATTAACACAATCGATCGTTCTCCTCCCCTTCGATAAACGAGCAAGAGGGAATGTCGCGTGGAAAACTTTATCTCTCGACGCGCCGCAGACGCGCTCCCATGCTTCCTTTTTCCATGAATTTTTTCAGCTGGTTTAATTAGTGGATAAGAGAACCCTCTTCGCTGGTTAGTTTCAATGAGGTCTAGACGCTCTAAATGAAGCGGTTGTTCGACGTTGCCTTCATCGCCGACAAAAACTCCTCCTTCCACTCGAAATTATTATTCATGAGCCGGGAGTGAGGAGTGAGGAGTGAGGAGTGTTTGATACCGAACGAGGCGAGGAAATTCGTCCGGGCAGACTCGTGCGGGCAAACGACGACCAAGGAGGAGGAAGACGAGGAAAAAGAAGTTTCACCAGCTTTCTAGCCTCGCTAGACTCGCCGACGAGTGTAATTGTTGTCCCCGGTCGTTTCCACTCTGACACTTAATCTGTTAACAGCACATAAGCGAACGTGCCACGCTATCCAAAGAGGCGGTTCGCCAAGTATTATGCGCAAATAAGCGCCGCGAGCGTTTGCGATGCTGCGATGCTGCGATGCGCAGGTTCCGATTACAAACACGCAACGCTCGCCTCTTCCCTGGGAAGCAGATATCTCGCGCTTTCACCCGCTTCTCGATCGATCGATGCATTTGCAGTAAACAATCTTCGTGGATTTGAGCCAAATTTTACGTACCGTCGCGTCGCGTCACGACTGTCTTTCAACGATCGGCTGACTACTTGACGATTCTCCTCGTCGCGGCGGGATAATTCAATCGGCTTTCGCGGGAATACGATCGTAACCAACGACACGTATGCGCGACCGAGAAGAATCGCTCGTGCATTTTCACGGATGGTTCGTCACTCGTTTCGATCGAAAAAGCGATCGTCAGGTGGCTTAGCGGATGGTAGACTGGAACGCGTGCAAGGGAAACAAGGACTAGCTTGGTCAGACCGCGCGGCCAAACTGCGTTTCATTGATCGTTGATGAACGTTTCCCATTCGTTTTTCTGGTCTACGTTTTTAAATTTCCCTATTAGTCGCCTCTTCTCCCGAACCCACAAGAGTTTTCATCATCGTTACTATTGTCATTATGTTACTATCGAGAAACGACTTGGAAAACAAAGTTGATTATTACATCTTTTTGAGGAAATCTTCGGCACGTGCGTTAATCGAATTTAAAAACTCATTCCTGGATTCTGGAACAAATCACTCTGGATATACATTTCAACCCGACATTAGGATCCGCCGTATTCCTCGTTGGAACAAACTTAATCACTATGATTAACTTCCAACTTGAAGTGATTGAAACTGCTTTCTCCCTCCAATTATCTTGTTACGAAGAGTTGGCAAATCGATTAAAAAGATTTTCACTCTACGGGCAGTGTGTCGATCTCGCTCCTGTTTCCCTGCTTATCCGAAGTATCCGATGTACCTAATTGACCATAAATATATACCAATCGGAACGAAACTTGGGATGCCCCGGCAGTTTGATAAAATTCGCGAGATTCTTTCCATCGATTTCCACGGAACGATAATTGCAGCGAATGTTTCTGTGTCATTGGTTTCACGCAGCCTGTAATTAACCCAATACCAAACCGCACGCAACATCGGCCTAGCATTCTACGCACGTCCCCCCCCCCCCTATGTTCTCCTTATCTCGCTCAACTTTCTTTTTCTTCTTCTTCTTCTTGCCAGATCGATCACCTTCTCTTTAATACGTAAGTTCAAAAGAACTCGATACGAGTTTCAAGATATAATAGCAGAATTTCTAAAACGTTAACGCGATAACGCCCGCCGAATAACTTGCCGTAGCATCGAGATGAAAGCCGCCAGACTCGATGAAAATCCAATGTTCTCCGTCGCGGTTAAATGCTCTTTCTCGCTTTATCGTCGCCTTTTAGGACGCGGCCGCGGATTGTAAAATACCGCGCCATTAAGAGGCCGTAATATTTCGTAATTATCAGTTTTATCGGGTAGCCGCGACTCACGCCGCTTGAGTTATTCGCGGCTCGACAAATGCGTCCGCCGATGCGGAGGAACGGAGGCGGAAGAACGAGCTTCCTTATTGGTTACTGTATGCAAAAGCTCGGCTCCGTTCCCTGTCATCCACGTGCTACGTACTTCCATTCTTCTTCCCGTTCTCCTTCTGTCCCTTCCTTGCCTCCACTCTTTCTCTTCCTCTGCTTTTTCTTTTTACCAAACAATGGAATCGTACCTTTCCGTATCAGATCGCTCGTTTGATGTATACACTCTTGCATTTGTCGAAATCGTTCGCGTTATAGATCGATATCATTGGTCGGCCGCGTAAACGTCTCGAAGTAATAAAATAAATTACACGTTTCCCTCGTCGACCCGTATATATATAT